TTAATCATCCTTACAGCTTCAGACCACTCAGTGTTAATCATCCTTACAGCTTCAGACCTCTCGGTGTTACTCGTCCTTACAGCTTCAGACCTCTCGGTGTTAATCATCCTTACAGCTTCAGACCTCTCAGTGTTAATCATCATTACAGCTTCAGACCTCTCGGTGTTAATCATCATTACAGCTTCAGACATCTCGGTGTTAATAATCCTTACAGCTTCAGACCTCTCAGTGTTAATCATCCTTACAGCTTCAGACCTCTCGGTGTTACTCGTCCTTGTAGCTTCAGACCTCTCGGTGTTAATCATCCTTACAGCTTCAGACCTCTCAGTGTTAATCATCCTTACAGCTTCAGACCTCTCGGTGTTACTCGTCCTTGTAGCTTCAGACCTCTCGATGTTAATCATCCTTACAGCTTCAGACCTCTCGGTGTTAATCATCCTTACAGCTTCAGACCTCTCAGTGTTAATCATCCTTACAGCTTCAGACCTCTCGGTGTTAATCATCCTTACAGCTTCAGACCTCTCGGTGTTAATCATCCTTACAGCTCCAGACCTCTCAGTGTTAATCATCCTTACAGCTTCAGACCTCTCAGTGTTAATCATCCTTACAGCTTCAGACCTCTCAGTGTTAATCATCCTTACAGCTTCAGACCTCTCGGTGTTAATCATCCTTACAGCTTCAGACCTCTCGGTGTTAATCATCCTTACAGCTTCAGACCACTCGGTGTTAATAATCATTACAGCTTCAGACCTCTCGGTGTTAATCATCCTTACAGCTTCAGACCTCTCGGTGTCATTCATTATTGTTGTTTCAAATCACTGATGCTAATTGTATCTCAATCAGTTCAATGTTTATAAACTTTGTCGGAAAAAAATTCGTGAATTGATTCATATTTCTATCAATGAAAATACGGTCTATTGATTTGGTATCAGAGAGCGCAGGAATTGTGTTTGCTGGGGCGCACTTGCATATTAGCTATAGAGTGTTTAAAACTACACTAAGATTCAACTGGATTTTACGCTGCAATTGTGTTATTTAAAATGGCAAATTATAGCAATATATTTATGTTGATAAGCTTAAAGTTGGGTAGTTATTTGAGTTTACATCCTTTTGGAAGACAGCTATCATAGCTGAAAGAATATAAGCCACCTATGTCCAGTCGAGACCAGTGATAGAATTTGACCAATCTTAGGAGTATTAGGAGTAAAGGGAAGACACGTAGACGAAATGCTTTAACGTTCTAGCAAAAAACGATTATAAAATGTTTTGCTATGAAAATATGTGTGTGCATGAGCTGATGTTGTTAAACGTCCAATCAAAAACAACAAAGAAGGCAAACAAACAAACAATGCATTAGTTTTAATTTTTCAGCAGTCTCCCTGAAATCTTGATTTTTGTCATACCTTGCCCTAGTTTTATTAAATTTGAGTTTGGATTATGCTGACATGTCTTTTTTCTGGCACAATAAACATTACAAACGTGTTTGATAACCCTTTTCATGGAACCAAGGCAATATCATGTTCGTTTGCGTCTTTCAATTCCCTATTCTCAGGTTGGCCTTGAAGATGAAAAGGAAAAAAATACAAATCCACATGTTTCATTAGAACGACTAAATTTCTGACAGATGTTATTTTATTTTTGCGTTCTGTATCTAAATTATTATACTAATACAACAAACTGCTTTCCAACTCCGGGAAATTGCACATTGCCATCTCTAATTTTAACCAATTTCTATTTTCGTAGGTCGCCCTCTGTATTCATTCTGTAACCGTAACAAGTCAATAGAATGCTAATTTGTTCCCCGATCTTGTTCCTTGGCACGATGTGAATGTGTTATTGTTGCAACCTGCCGTTCGTCAGTTTATATTAAAGTCATTTTAGTAGACAGTGTATTCATTGCACCTTTTATATACTGAACTATAATGCTTTGAGAAGATTGTTGTCGGTCAGCCGAACAGTGAAACAACCAAATAATCCCCTTTGTTGGTAGATTTTTAATGTTTACATTTCTACATATCTATATGTAGTGAAATGTGCTGTATCAGGTTGCTATAATCTGGTCAACTTCTACCTAGTGAATTGATCTGGGACCACAGTTCACAATGCAACATTAGTTCAAATTTTCTTAACCGTTTTGTATCAGCAAAGCTTAGTATCAGACACTTTGTTATTGATCTGTGTGTAGGAGAGTTAGATTGATCTGACCTGTACAGCTGAATGGACGACAATCCCTGCCATCTTACCGTGATTTCCTTTAGACATGATATATGTACAAGAATGAAAGCTTGTTATAGTACGTATCGTTTAGACGTCTATACGAAATCAGGGTGGATGAAGCTTTGTTGCGATGCTCTTTTTCGATGACTGGGGTGATTATTTACTTCGAATTAATCACATAGACCCCTCCGTTGCAAGCTCCAGTTTACACATCAACAACGAATCAGAAAGTCACGTGCAAAGTGACAATAATGTATTGCACAATAATAGAGACAATTTTCTAGAACATTGGTGACCCAGAATGTAATGAGAGTGAGGAGGAATATGTAGCTGCATATATTGTTCTAAAAGAACCATTTTAAGAGAAGGTAGAATTATTCCAAATGAAAGAAGAATTCAACTTCTGAATCACAAGAAAATAGAAATTAAAACTGCACAATAGAGAAGGCTGTGGGTAATGTCGGAAGTATCAGCATAATTCTACGTAATGAAACTCTTGGCCCCAATACTGTAATATCCTAAATTGTCTCTTTTGCTGCAACACATCACTCGGTATATTATTGACATTTGAGCGCATCATGCGAATAAGTACCTTTACATTTGTACGGAACTCAGAAGATTCTGTTTATGTGGAACAGAATATATCGGGTCTCTGTTTTAAGTGTATCGGATCCCATCATGTAAGATAGAGTGGGCTATACTAGAATGCTTGAAATCGTCTGTAAACATGACATTTGAATAAAGTGAAATCCATTTTCTAAAATCCCGTTACCTATTAACACACCGTTTCGTCGAAAACGTGCGTACTACGACTACCACAGACAATCATTGATGCTGTCGAATAATTAGGCCACTGGCTATGTACTAGAAACTGCGTACATTCCAGATAACAAAGCTAAAGTGCCAGCTAATACATATAAGATCAAACATATTAATGGCTAATGTTCTGTTAAACTTGTATCAGTTTAATCCATAACTTGCCTTAACAATGGTAATGAAAAGGTGGAGAACTGATTTAATAAATCAGCCCAAATCTAGGAGTGATACCAAAGGATTATTGTTGCTATAACAATATTATTACAATGCTTGATATTACATATATAACCCAGTAAGGTAAAATCGTTGAGTTATAGATTCGGTGATATCTTTAGCCTCAATATTACATTAATACCAAGGCTGCCCTTCAGGCATCACCATAAATATTAAATAGTGTAGTTTTATAGTAACCCCTCCTATGTATGAACACCATTATTTTCTGACAGACTTGGCATGACGGTACATTCCAAGCTGTTGATCCGATGTACCTAAGCAAAGCTTAAAGATATTATTGTCAACGCAGATGGGGTTCTTTTTTTCAAGATGATAAGTGTCCATTTCAGCAATGCGGCGATAGCTTATTTTATCTTTGTCTAGACGGAGTGAAGGATTATTTAATGACGCTTTACTCAAGGAAGGAAAGTTCATTAATGGGAAATTCTGAAATTACATACAAAATGGTCTCCATTCGTCTGTCTCCTACCTTCAAATTTAAACCATATCACATTTCCTTGAGGCAATCGTATAACGGCAAAGGCGTATGTCTGCGTGTTGAAAATGAAGTTGACCGACATGTATATAGTGACAAAACGATAGCATTTTGTATGTTTGATACAATGTATGTGTGATTTGGGTCATGAATAAGCAGAGAAATAACGTTTACTGTCGGTAGAAACGTATTTATTTTACCCAATCATCTGTGGACAATGGCTTCATTTGGTCGAATTAGGTTTAGCAGTTGACTCTGGAAATAGAATTTCTGCTTTATTGGGATTTTTTTAATGTTGAAAAGAACAAATAAACAATTCAAATTGCTGATTAAAATCGTTGTGTTTTGTAGCTATTACTTTGGTGCAATATTCAAGATTGAAATCGATGCCTTGCCAACATTTTGGCTTACATTTTGAAGACTCTCATCTTGACCTAGCGTTTCCGTAGCAAACTTCGTTGTTTACTAATAAAGTTCCAATGAAGAAAAATCTAACACATTTCGAAGGTTCTATAAAAGACTCACAAGTGAATAGCACCTTTCCATACAACATGGAATAAACACAATATAATTAAATACAGTAGCGTCATGCATATGTTTCGTCCTACTACGAATCGCCAATGATATTAATGGGCCTTAGGACCTAGGAGGCTACTGAGTGAAATTTTAATTTATCGAAACAAATCTACATGAGGTGCATTATGTTCGTGATGTTGAACATTGCCCAATATAGCAATTTGTTACACAATGACTTATAATGTATCATTCAATGTATAAATAACATGACGATTTATTGAATATTTTTGTTCCACATGTACCTGAAATGAAAACAAAGAATTCCTATATCATTGCATGTCCACATTTCTTGTATTATTTCTACCTGCATTATAAAAAAAACATGGAAGGGTAACTGTTACTGCAATACCAATATATCTAGCCAATTTCGGTTTGCTTGCAAATGCTAAGGTATATAAAAGACATTTCATATTACTATTGTTGTCATATGTTCTTTGAGTTTATTAAGTATATGTGTTACTATTTATCATTATTATGACCAATTTTCCTTCCGCTCGCTCATTGTTATATATCACAGTTTATATTCTTGTCAATATTGTTGATGATTCAGACAGTTTCTTGTGTGTTTCCATTGATGCTATAAGAAAAAACCGTTATCATAATTCCTGATATACATAAAATATCACAAAGTGCAATTACGTATAAAACAACATTGTTTAATCTGTGTTTTATAATTTCAGAAATGGATTTGCTGAATATCACCGACTATTCCATCAGATCAATAGAAGACCATCCCGACTATCCCGCTATATTAGTTGTCATGTGCATGCTAAGTATTTTTAGTGTAGCTGGAACAGTTGGAAATGCTTTCGTCATATACGTGTTCTCGAAACAACGTGATAAGTCTACATCGACCATGTTTATCATAACCTTAGCTGCTACCGACTTCTTCACGTGTCTTTGTATTGTTCCCCATACTATAGTGTGGGAATACTTCAGTAAGCGGATTCAGTTTGACGCTATTTGTAAACTCTACCACTTTCTTATCACATCTAATGTCCCCTTTTCCTTCTTTATCATGGTAGCAATCGCCTTCGACCGGTATTTTAAGATTTGCCTACCATGGACTCACTCAATGGATCCACCAATTGCGAAGCGTGTTATAGCTGGCCTGCTGGTGTTCGCATTGTCCCTTGGTATCATACCATCCTTTTCATATGAAATTTATCAGCAAAGAGATGTCATGAATACATCATCACACACCGTGAATGGATATTCTGTAGTAAGCAATATGTCACTGACAACTACACCTTTAATCAATTATTCGTCGTACGAGTCAACGAAAGATGGGGAATTAAAAGATAAAAACGATAAACCGCCAGAGTATTATTATGGGATGTGTGTTGCTTCAGAACGATATATTAGTACGGAAGTAAGAATGTTTTATCAGAAGATATACGCCTCTTTATTCCTGATTGCTTCCATACTGGTCGCCATTCTCTACGGACTAATTTTGAAATCATTGATATCCAGAAGAGCTAAGAAATTACAAAATTCATTATCAAACGGTAACACAACAAAATCGCAGACATCTACTGCTAGTCAGACATGCATCAGTAGTTCCCGCTTTGTTACCAATGAAGAACAGAGGACGACAGTTGACAATTCAAATGAATCGCTTATGCCTCAGAAAAAAAATTATCAGTCCAGCAGAGACAGGGAGAGAGAAAAGATAAGGAACGTGAGGGAGAAACAAAGGATAGCAAACATTAAAACAGCGGGAATACTCTTTATTGTCACAGCTGTTTTTATTGCAGCTTTTCTACCTGCGTGGTTAATGGCTGTGCGCATGATCCCGGCCGATATGATTCTCTTCTATATGTACTTCAGCTACAACGTGGCAAATCCTATTATTTACGCCTTTTTCAACCGCGCTTTTAGAGTTGAGATGAAGAATGTGATACACTGCAAGAAGTCTACTTCATTTTAAACATATTTATCTACACTTGAGTGAAGCTGTAGATCTGATGGATACAAAGGTGTAACGTCCCAATATATCTACACTTATCTACACTTGAGACAAGCTGTAGATCTGAAGGATACAAAGGTGTAACGTCCCAATATATTTGGTTACCAACGAATCGGAGTGTGAATGGTGATACGTGATGGATAAACAAGTGATATATATATTTAACTGTTTACTATCAGTTGACTGAGTAGTGTTTACATTCTTATACCTATGAACTACTAGACTAACTTGAATACATACAGAAATGCTGCTTTCTCAACTCACCTGTATTTCGAACTGAACATTGGCGTTTATAAGAATATTGTTCAACAAAGTAACGAACATATTCGTTTTAAAATCAGCTATAAATTAATTTGTGGCATTGGTATGAGTTAAATTACCGTATGACATATGTAACAACATTCAAGGTCTATTATCATTCTCATGAAAAACCATCCAAAATGTTTCCATTTGATAACACTGTGACATGTCGGTGTTGCATAATCACGTGTTAAGTTCTAGCAATGTCGGCGATGCCTTATACAACCAGCTCTAAACTATATAATGTTGCATTCTTTTATTGGTTCCTTGCCTTCTTTAAAAGTCACATGTGTACAGTGTAGCAGCACTTTGATGTACTATTTTAATCAATTTCAAACCTACGTATTGTAGATTGTATTTATTGGACTTTTTGTAGAGATATATCAAGCAATAGTGATATCTTCACAAACATATTAAAAGGAATCTTCACAGTCAATGGTGAGTAAAACGCGACTATTTTATGCGAATGAAAAGGTGGCTACAGGACAAATCAATAGATAAATCGGAGATTAGTTTTGCATTGATTCAAATAAAACAGATGAATGATCAAAATTACAAATATTAATCCTCACATATCAGAATAAATAATGTTATGTACATAACCAAGTTCAATAATCAAGCAATAGTGATATCTATATGGGTGGTCGGGTGGCGCAGTGTTAACGCACTCGCCTTTCACCTAGCCGACCGGGGTTCGATTCCCGGAACGGACGTGAAAAGGTAAGGGGTCACCTGCCCGACCGCGTGGGTTTTCCCCGGGTACTCCGGTTTCCTCCCACAATAAGGCCCCTCGCGCACTTACATCCGGGCCAACAAGAGTGATTAGTATAAGTTTAAATAACTTGTTTCGCAATTGTTGTAAAACAAATAAAGTTTATATTTATATTTAATAATCAAGCAAGTACCCCAACATGATATTGTGTTGTGTTTATTTTATATAGACACATGATATTGTGTTGTATTTAGTAATGCAGACACGTGATATTGTGTTGTATTTAGTAATGCAGACACGTGATATTGTGTTGTATTTAGTAATGCAGACACGTGATATTGTGTTGTATTTAGTAATGCAGACACGTGATATTGTGTTGTATTTAGTAATGCAGACACGTGATATTGTGTTGTATTTAGTAATGCAGACACATGATATTGTGTTGTATTTATCTATGTAGACACATGATATTGTGTTGTATTTAGTAATGCAGACACATGATATTGTGTTGTATTTATTTATGTAGACACATGATATTGTGTTGTGTTTATTTATGTAGACACGTGATATTGTGTTGTATTTAGTAATGCAGACACGTGATATTGTGTTGTATTTAGTAATGCAGACACATGATATTGTGTTGTATTTATCTATGTAGACACATGATATTGTGTTGTATTTAGTAATGCAGACACATGATATTGTGTTGTGTTTATTTATGTAGACACGTGATATTGTGTTGTATTTATTTATGTAGACACGTGATATTGTGTTGTATTTATTTATGTAGACACATGATATTGTGTTGTGTTTATTTTATGTAGACACGTGATATTGTGTTCTGTTTATTTATGTAGACACGTGATATTGTGTTCTGTTTATTTATGTAGACACATGATATTGTGTTGTATTTATTTGACCAAGATTTATAAGACAGGTGCCATTGATGTGGCCGAAGACACCAGGCTGGAACATATGATATTATTATTCTTGTTCTTTAAGGTCGATATAAATCTTTGTTTTGTCATGTTTAAACGATTTTAGTTTAAGATACGATTTTAGCATTTCGATATTTTCTTGTAGTCTTTGAAAATACAGTCTAATATGTATGTAAGTAGATATATTAAATATGTTTTCGTGATAAAGTGTTCCGAGTGGTCCAACATACTCATTTTCTTCAATAAATATGGTATACATTGAAATGTACTCATTTAATATCGTATTATTTTCATTTCAATATTTAATGTTGTTTTTTCTTTAATTCTTCTTAACAAAATCAGTTGAGTCGTGATATTCTATCCACAAATGGATTTTAATCTTGATAATTTCATCTTAACACCATCGCAATTTCTGTGCATTGTTGCATGCCAGTAATATTATGTCTTGTACAAAAATAACTGTACCTTCTAGTGAAACCGTCGTTTTAGGAATTAGATCGAAAGCGTGCAAATATTTGTAAATCGGCGGTCCCTAACTGAATCAAAACTGGCTGTGATTTAGTTACGGAAACAACGGTTTACAATGAGAGTGAAAGATACTACATTACTTTAAGCGGACATACACTAATATTTTGCCTCCAATATTTGACTATTATGTTGATCTGTACATCGTAAAGTGATCACCATTTTCTTAAGTGATATTAATTGACCTTATGCAGAAGATCAATTAATATCACTTTCTGTTTTCATATTGATTTTGTCATACCAGATAACCTTGTTTGCTTGGGCTAAAAATGTACATATTTTCTCTATTGTGTCTGAAAATGTTAATTTTTTGTACAGTAAATCTGACATGCTAACTGATAAAGTCGCTTGGTACGAAATATTTACACCCCTCACAATTACTGGCTACAAATCAATGACAAATAATACAAGATGTTTACGCACCACATAGACTTCTGAATACAATCAGGTCACACTGACGTGGTTAAATATGTTTACGCACCACATAATTACTGACTTCTGAATACAATCAGGTCACACTGACGTGGTTAAATATGTTTACGCACCACAGTATTACTGACTTCTGAATACAATCAGGTCACACTGACGTGGTAAAATATGTTCACGCACCACAGAATTACTGACTTCTGAATACAATCAGGTCACACTGACGTGGTAAAATAGTTTACGCACCACATAATTACTGATTATTACAATCAATGACACCCATCATTTTGAAGACTTGATTTGGTAACCATGTAATTTATTGATCATTTGTGTGTTAACAATAGCTGTGTTGTCTTTCTAAACATAAACACTGCACCATTTCATTCATAAATTTTAATCAATATTCTAGCCGTCCTGTGATGGTTAACGAGTGATCGGTGAGACGATCATTTTGATTCCTAATACTGACAGTAACTATACATGAACTATATATCATTTTAATTAATTTTATACATAACGATTATAGGCATGAAAATAAACTCTGTTTCAGCTGCCTCTAAATTCGCATGTTCCATGTTGAATTATGACTATTTCTCTAATTTTGATTTGTTTTAATAAGAAAACAGGTTTGTTACGTTTGTAAATGTCTCAATATAGTATTAGTTATAAATATTGTTAATTCTATTTGTTGTTTATTGTTGTTACAAAGCTCTGTGTATGATGTGCATACACATTGCTCAGAATGCTAAAGGACACTGGTACGACAGCAATTTGCTCATATATTTATTTAAGCGTATATTTTGAGTACACTTTAAATTTTTTTTCTGTCGAAAGTGAAGTAAAGATGTGCATTGCATTTACTGCTTATTATTGGTTCGAATTTATTAATTAAAATCCATTAACAGGCGGTATAGTGGACTGTTTTTTTCTGAACAAGCTATTGAGAATTAAAGTGATTCTTATATACTGCATGATTCAGTTTAATTCAATATATGGTTATAATGTATCCAATTCTCACTAAAATTGTGTTCTTTCCTTGTTTGTCTTCTTTGGGATGTTTTTGATTAAAACTATTACACACTGCTGAAGGACGTTATTCGCCGAGGGTTGAAGTAGCTTGCAGGCTACATTTGTATCTTCCCATATCCGCTTTGACATCCATTTAGACACATTTTATCGTCCATGAATTGAGTTTGTTCCCGGACTGCAAATTGAAAATCGTTTAACTGATCCTAACGAATCTCGGTATAAATCGGTAATTTTTTTTTTTTTACGTTTCGCATGAAGTCATGTTCACCTGATTGCTATACTCGTTTGATGCCAACAACGGAAGGCAAATGTACTTCATCGAAAAGTCAAAACTTGCTATATATGTGTAAGTGACTGTGTTATGTTTTGTTTTTGTTTCAATTTAATTCATAAATTATTTATCCTTTTGGTATACTGTATATAGATATACATATAGAATGAGACATTTTACACTTGAAACAATTCTGAAAAGAAAACAATTAATAGATAAATGATCAATTCAAAGACTTGTACAATGGATTTACCTTGACAATTTAAATACAATAAAATATTAGCATGTGAATATAATCCAAACACAAATGCAATGAAACTAAGGCCAAATATCAACAAAAGGTCCACCAACCTCCCTCTAGAAGTGTATGCGTCTTCAGCTTCATCAACGACATCCAAGATGAAAATCTCGGTCATTAAAACAAGTAACATCACATTTCAAATGAGAACAAGTTATATAACAACGGTATCAATAGGCAAACTAACGAGAATCAAACACGTCCAACTTTATATTATGCAAAGAGATGGAATATTTCTCAATGAGGTCATTAGGACGACCGTTAAAACTTCCCCATAATATTAATCAGCTCCTATCTCCCGAGTCATGTCTTATGAGTTTGTCTCTCAGTTTTTAAGAAATGGAAAATATCAAGCAGCTCGACGAAAAAGCTCTTCATGTCGATTTGCAAATATCGTCATCAAATTATCTGAAAGTGAAAGTGAAAGTACTTCAGACCGTCCCTAGTGTTTAATCACCAATA